GACAGCTTTGTGCGTAACGAGCAGGGCACTAGCCCTAACCCGGCAAAAACACAACCTCAGGCCATGGAATATCAACTACGCCGCGAGAACCCCAAGAATATCAAGGTAAAGAAGACAGTCAGCTGGGCTGACAAGGCCGCGGAACGGAACACGTCCGCCCCCGGAGATGTGGGGCTCGGGACCGACCGATCAGGCCCGCGTGTAACGAAGAAGCCGACCTACAAGGACCGGCGGGTTCTCCTTCGGATCAAGGCAGACTCCGAGACCCTCAAGAAAGATGGCTACCAAGTCCGAGATATGCTACTGAAGCATCTAAAGCTGGATGATCGAGATATAGAAAACGTGAAACCAACTAACACTGGCTGGGCTGTTCGGGCCCGTACCGATGAAATCCAGGAGCTACTAATCTCTACACAGGAAGAATGGGGGCCGAGTGTAGACCTCCTTATAGCTGAGAAAAACATCCCATGGTATACTTACAAAGTTAAACGGTTCCCGAAGGAAATACTAGATTGGGAAGGAGCCCCTATGGATTATAATGAAGCAGTTGAACGTGAAGTTCTACGCCAGACAGGGCAACTACCCGTTGCCTGGCACGTGTCGAACAGAGACCCTGATAACAACCCCTCCGAGGTCTCCCTCATGATATCCTTCACAGATAAATTGGCCACAAACTTTAGGATGCTGGGAAATAGCGAATTTTCCTTCGAACTTAACCGCCCCAAGAAGATAATACAGTGTGACAACTGCTGGAACTTCCATGCCCCGACTAGATGCATGGCTGCGACTGTTTGCAAGAACTGTGGCCAACGCACATCTAGTGATCATACCAATGACAACTGCACAAGATTTACCCAATGCACCAACTGCTTAGGACCACACCTGCCCGACAACATCACCTGTTTCGCAAGACCAACGAAGAATAAAGACAACCAGACGATCTCTAAGCTCTCGAAATCACAGGTTATCAGCGCACGCGCAAGTGGGCTGCGCCTCTACAGACGGACACATCCAGAGACAATGCTTACTAGCTCTCCCAGCTCCTCGCCAGCACCTCCTACCCCGACAAAAGCCAGGACACAAGTCTCCACCAATGATAGTATGGAGATAGACAATCAACCTGCTACCGCCCAGAATCCTGCTCAATCCCAAGAGGCCGACATGGACATCTCTAGTGACGAGATCGCACTGGAGGCCCCCCAGGTGCAGGGAAGCGATACCGAGATGGATGGGGAATACCAACAAACCTCAAATGTACAGGAAGGACAAGACGAACAAGACCTTGCCGACGAGCAGTTCGATCGAGACGACGAAGAAGACGATGCTGAAGAAGAGACTGAGGAAGAGGAGCTAACGGGGCCCGCTACTAAGATTAAAGATCCTTTAGCCACGGGCAGCCCAGCCCCGACACAAAGGATAGCTACAAGAAGAACGAGCCAAGCCCGACCCGAGACCCGCACCCGAGGGACGACCCGGGTCCCAATAACGCTCCCTGGATCTCATCCCCAGCCAAAAAAGGGGATTATCGGGATCAAAGCCAAGTACCTACAAAAGGAGATCGAAGTCCCCCGAGTCCCCCCTGATCTAGAAAGCGGCGAGGATGGAATCGGCGACGTCGAAAGTGGCGACGACGAAAGTGGCGACGGTGAAACAATTGTCTTCTCCCGGCCCAAGCCTAATAACAAACAGCCGCCTAGAGGACGACCACGCTCCCCTATAGGCCAGAAGACGAAAACACTGCCCAAAAACAAAGAAACTACTGTTCAGAGCAGCAGAACTAGGTCTCCTCCTAGCAGCCCGCCAGCTCGAGAACGCTCTCCATCCAAGAAACACAAGACTACGCGAGTAAATGAATAAGGCGCAAGAATCGTACAAACAACATAGACTTAAGATCTTCCAAGCAAATATTGACAAAAGCGGACCTTCACACAGCCGGGCCCTGCAACTAGCATACGCGTCCGGCTTCGACGTAGTACTCCTACAAGAACCCAACACCAGCTTCAACAAAGACCATGACACATGTCGCACACAGACATACCCAGGCTTCCAGTGCTTCTCACCCGTGGAACACTGGAACTCTCGCACTACCAGGCCCCGTGTAATGACGTATGTCAGACACTCTCCGCGACTTACGGCGTCCCAGCTGTTAGTCACAGTGCACCGCGACCTCTTATGGGTGAAAGTCAATGGAATTATAGTTGTTAACGTCTACAAACAAGGGGATACTGCCCTCTCTACTCTTCTTGACTGGACCCCCCCTAAGAAATACTATTATTGCCGGAGACTTCAACTTTTTTAACCCCTTGTGGCAAATAACTAGACTACCTACCCTTGATGGCAGCCGTATCGCAGCGTGGACGGAACTTCACCACCTAGACCTCCTTAACCGAACAGATGTGCCTACCACAATGGGTACAACAAGGCAGAGAATCCCGTCTACTATAGATCTCTGTTTCTCTAATATCCCGGGCAGCACCGCTACCGTGGAGGAGCATCTCACAACGGGTACATTGCACCATACGATAAGTATTAACATCCCAAGCTGTGACAGGCCTCCCCCGGTGCAAGGGAGAATACGGGTTACAAAGAGCCACGAGCTTAAGAAGTTCTCGGAACTCGTCAAGCACGCTATGGACTCACTGATATATGACACGACAACACACGCGACTATCGAGAACCTAGCTGAGGAACTCACTCAGATACTACAGCAATCTGCGCGAGCCGCAGGCCGCGAGGTCAAAGGGAACAGGCCGAAATGCAAGACCTGGTGGAATCAGGAATGCCAAGACGCATGTGACCAGCTGAGGACTATGCGTATCATCACCGACGATCCTACCGGCTTAGAAGTTCAGATCGCGCGGCGGGACCTTCACAGAGCCATACAGATGGCACGGAAGACAGGTATAAAGCAGTATATCGAAGACATCCAGGCCAAGACGGATGTGTATAAAGTAACAAGATGGATCCGACCGAAAAGAAGGACAGAACCCCCGCCTATCCAGATAAACGACGAGGTCTACGAGACCGACCTCGAGAAAGCAGAAGCCTTGCGGAAAGCTAAGCTGGAAACGAGAGACGCCTCGCACGATATACACGACCCGTGGGACTGCCTCGTAGAGGAAAAGGAAGAAATCCCCTTTCAAGAAGAGATTACTATTAGGGAAGTCGAAGACGCTATTCTACACACGGGCAATACTACCCCTGGAATAGATGGTATTACCACCGCGATGTTGCGGCATGTTTAGACTTATATAAAGGACGCTGTTCTTGCGATTTATAACGGGTGCCTAAGACAAGGATACCACCCGACAGTCTTCAAGACAGCTGAGGTCGTGATGATACCTAAGCCCGACAAACGGAACCTAAGTGACCCGGGTGCCTGGAGGCCGATCTCACTGCTGCCATGCCTCTCGAAAGGCCTCGAAAGAGTCCTAGCAAGAAGGCTAGCATACCAAGCGATCGCCTCTGGTATACTACCTGAAACACTAGCCGGAGCATTGCCGAAGCGCTCAGCTATCGATATCGTCGCCTCCCTAGTCTTTGACCTTGAGGATCTTGCGTTCCGAAAGAAACTTGTGGCAACCTTGGTAACAATGGACGCTAAAGGAGCCTTTGACGCCGTTCTGCGAGGCAGGCTAATCAAACGGCTGCGCGAGCAAGGCTGGCCCACCTACCTTATCAGATGGGTAGACAGCTTCATGACAGAAAGGATGGCAAGAGTCCGCTTTGCATCAACTACCACAGAAGCGGTTGAGCTCCTCTGCGGCCTCCCACAAGGCTCACCAATCTCCCCTATCTTATACCTACTTTACATTTCGAGCATCTACAATCTAGCCGGGGCGGACGCCCGCTACGGCTACGCAGATGACACGGCAATGCTTTTCGTAGGAAAAACCCTGAAAGAGACTTCGCAGCGTGCGGCAGCTGCGATAGAGGACATGGAGACATGGGGCCGCACGTCCGCTATTACCTTTGACCCTCGTAAGACCGAGATCATGCACTTTTCGAAGAGGCGGCGAAGAGAAGAGATCCCTGACATCCAGCATGGAGAGAGGACAATTGCGGTCTTAAACTCGATAAGGTGGCTAGGAGTATACCTCGACAAGACGCTATTCTTCAAAGCGCATATACAGCATTAGAGACAGAAAGCAGACAGGCTTATAAGTTTCCTCAAAGGGCTTAGGAACACAGTCCGTGGAATACGACCCTCGGCTGCCAGGCACGCCGTGCAGACAGTGGTACTACCAACGATTCTATATAGGATTAAGGCATAGATATAACAAGACCCCCCCTTAACTAGTACTTAACATATTACTAGATTAAGCGGACTTGCTTGTAGAAAATACAGATCAGTCTAAACAATACCTGCCGCATGATCTTGCCTGTTTGGAAAACAACACCTAAAGAATACCTTTGGAAGGAAGCAGGAATACTCCCTGCTGAGCTTCTCGTTAAAAGTATACGCTCGCGGGTCTCCCTACGCCTTGCCACTCTCGACAGAAAGCACCCTCTACGACGAAGACTAGACCACGCCGCTCGACGAGATATCTTGAGTAACAACCCGGATGCTAGCGCCGCTGTAACCTCGAGGCGGGTACGGTTAGTGCACACTACACAAGAATATAAAGACTATCAAGAAGTCGTACTTATCCCTCGACGATACTCGACGAACATCCAAGTCCACGACGAACAAATCGGCAAGGACCAAGCCACAGCAGCCCACCTGCAGTGGTTAAATATAAAGCCATCGGGGTATATTATCTACTCTGACGGCTCCAAGTTAGAAAATAGCAGCGCGGGGTATGGCTTTGTTGTATACTACAAAGACAGAATCCTCAAACAGAAAGCATAACAGCTAGGCACACGCGAAGTGTTTAATACAAAAGTCACAAGAGCCTTCTACAGCCTGAAAGCTATCTTAAAAGACAACTCCGACAACTTGCCGATCACCATCTGTATAGATAATCTTGCTGTTGTTCGAGGTATTAGCCGCACTGCCCCTACCTCGTCTCAAGACTACTTTCTTAAAATCCAGGCCTTAGGAGACAAATACCCGGGGCGTATCACGGTCCGGTGGACACCCAGGCACAAGGATATACCTGGAAACGAAAAAGCGGACAAACTAGCAAAGGAGGGCGTATCTCTCCTAGTCCGCATGATAGCCCTATCCATCTCGCAGACACATAGAGTAGTTCGGCAGCTCCCCCGCTAGTATTTTCTCGACTAGTAGAATAGTATAGAGAAAGCTACTTACCAGAGGCAAACACCAAATATCAAGGCTGACCTCTCAAAGCTGCCTGAGCTCGAGGTTCCTAGAAAACAACTCTGCTTCCTGCTGGCAGCACGTACTAACCATGGCGACTTCGCT